ACACACACACACACACACACACACACACACACACACACACAGAATCCGAAGAAGGCTCCAGGCTCTGAGCTGTCAGCACAGAGCCTGACGCGGGGATTGAACTCACAAGCTCTGAGATCATGACCTGAGCTGAAGTTGGACACCCAACCAACTGAGCCACCCAGGTGCTCCAGGTGCCTGATTCTTGTTTTCAGCTCAGGCCATGACTTACGGTTCGTGGGCTTATGCCCCACGTTGGGCTCCGTGCTGACAGTGCAGAGCCTGCTTGGGATTCTCTGTCTCCCTCTGTCTCTCTGCCCCCTCCAATGCTCACTCTCAAAATAAATAAACTTAAAAGAATATCAGAAATGAACAGTATAATAACAGAATTTAAAGATTAAATGGTACGTTAAATCAGCATATGAGGCACAGTTAGAAAGAAACTGCATGGAAGACCATACACAGAGAAAAAAGTTATAGAAAACGAAAGATTGTAAGGTGATCTAATCAAAAGTTCCAGAAAGAAAACATGAAAGGTTACAAGGAACATTAAAAATATTCTTTTTATCCCTGTATTTATCAACAGAAACAATTAATTTGGGTAGGAAAAATTTGTCAAAATGATTTTTTTAATGAAATAGCCAAGGCTCTCTTTCCCCTTAATTGAATCAAAGATGTTGCTATCTTAGAAATACCATTTGCATCTAATTTGCTAAGTAGCTGAGAAAGAAAGTACATTTTAAGATATAAGAGAAGATAGACACTGGGCCACCTGCTCCCCATAGGTCTCGGCTCCCAGAGCTGGGCCAGACCTTGTGGCCATGGGGCTTCTCTCTCCTTTCTCCCCAGCAGAGACCAGTGACTTGAGAGCACTTTCCAAAACATCCCCTGTCTCTCAGTGTGAAATGGAACCTCTGACACTCAGGTGTGGCATCAGCAAAGTCAAATATAGCAGCACCAGTCAGAAATAACAGGAATACCTCTGTACTCTTCTTAACACAGGAAAAGACAAAAGAAAGAGAGAGGAGATGTGTTCATAAGAACAGACCCATGTGCTATGAAGAAAGAAAAGTATGCCAGAGAAATGAGGGAAATGATTGGCATTTCAGTTATTTTTCCTCTCCTTTACTGGAGAACCTGATTGGCTTTCATTCATTCCTCAACTACAAAGAATTCTCACAAGTGTCTCAAAGAAGCTTCTAGAAACCCAGAGGAGTCCAAACCGTTAGATTTCTGCTAGCATTTGTTGCTAGAAATGCTAGCTGGTTTGTGGTACTAAGAGGATCATGAAAGAATAGGATAGTTAACAGGGTGTGGAGCCAATGCAGACTAACATCAAGCAATTCTCTAAAGGAGGCAGCTATAACTAAGGGAATTATTGAGTGATAACTATTATAAATAGAAAATGAAAAAAACAGTATTTGTTAGACAGTATCAGCACCATTCAGTCCTGCCAGTCACCCAGCAAAAACATTCAGCCCACTTAGCAGTTGTGTGATATCACAGGCTAAATTCTGTGTATTTGCTATGAAAAGAAAAAAGACAAAATATATCGAAAATATGAAGAGTTGTGAGGATATCATTTTATAAGAATGTACGATTAGCAATATTGAGCAGATATGAACCTAGAATTAATGAACAACAATGAAAATAAAAAGTTTAAATAAAGAACTTTGTGGGAGGCAAAGAATTCCTTTTTTGTTGTCAGAGGAATGGTTATTAAAAATAACTTTTAAACCAGTATTTATGTCAAAATTCTTGATGATTCTTGATTGTGGGAGTTAGCCAGAAATGAATTAAAACTATTCATAAACTCATTTATTCAGAAAATATCTTTTGTGGTACACATATCTTCACAAAATAAGCTCTTCTGGTGAGATGTTTTTAAGTATAAAAGATCAAAATTACAGTAATTTTGAAATCACAATTAACCAAATGTTGTTTCAAACGTAATGCTGTACCAAACCAAATAGCGGATATTAGTAAAAATGCGGTAGGATTTGAACCCCGCTGATACCACTGACAAGTTGGCATCTAAGTCAAGCTTGCTATCTATTTATTTATTTATTTATTTATTTACTTACTTACTTACTTATTTAGATAGGATGCATACGAACAAGGAGCAGAGAGAGAGAATCCCACGGTGGGGGGGGGG